TTTTACGATGAGACAATGACAGACAGCACTGAAAAATGAAATATATTGCTTATGATCATAAGCAGGCGAATCTAACTAACGACTTAGATCTAAGTACGGTAGAATTGCCATGAAGTGCCTATACTAGTGGCTCCTTTACCTCCCCTCACAGCCACCCTCAGCCTCTCGAATTATGCAGTATAAATTAACTCGGATAACACCTTTCGGAAATCCACCTTCATTGATATCTTAGCAAGCAAGTTGAAATTCAAACAGGCGAGATCTAACTACGACTTATGTACTAGAAAAAGGCCACTAAAAAAAAATACAGGGATGAACAGCTATAAAAATAGCTGACTGTTGCCAAAAATTTATGTGGCAAGTTGGCAGCTGGACGTTTGAAAAAAAAGGGATGGCAGCTGACTCCCCGAAACGAAAAATTAGGAAGGCAGCTAAAGAGTAGCTGAAGGTGGAACAAAAGAGTTACGATGAGACAAGTGCGCAGCTAGAAGAATAAATATTGGAATTATCTTACTATCTAAGCAGCGAGAACTAAACTACGACTTAGATCTAAGTAACGGTGGATTTGCATGAAGTGCTCATCCTCAAGTGGCCTCCTTTACTCTCCCCTCACACCACCCTCAGCCTACTCGAATTATTGCAGTATAAATTAACTCGGATAACACCTTTGCGAAATCCACCTTATGATAATCAAGCAAGCAAGTTGAAATCAAACAGGCGAGAATCTACTACGAACTTATGTCTAGAAAAAGCCACTAAAAAAAATTAAAGGATGGCAGCTATAAAAATGCTGGACGTAATGCAAAATTTTATGTTGGCAAGTTTGCAAGCTGACGTTTTTGAAAAAAAATGGCGATGCAGCTGCTCCTCCGACGCAAAAAAATTAGGCAAGGCAGCTAAAGAGTAGCTGAAGTGGATATCAACAAGAGTATTTTACGTATGAAACAAATGCGCCAGCTGAAAAAACAATTGGAATATTCTTATATCTAAGGCAGGCGAGATCAACTACACTTATGCTCTAGAAAAGCCACTAAAAAATTTAAGGGATGCAGCTTAAAAAATAGCTGACTGTTGCAAAAATTTATGTTGCGCAAAGTTGCAGCTGGACGTTCGCAAAAAAAGCGCGAGGCAAGCTGTTCACCCGAACGAAAAAAATTAGGAAGGCAGCCCTAAAGTTAGCTGAAGGTGGAAACAAAAGAGTTTTACGATGAAACAATGCGCAGCTGCAAAAAAAATTGGAATTGTATTACTATATCTAAGCAGGCGAGATCTAACTACGACTTATGTCTAAGTACGGTTGGATTGCATGCAGGCTGCTATCCGTAAGTGGCCTCCTTACCTCCCCTCACAGCCACCCTCAGGCCTCTCGAATTATGCAGTATAAATAACTCGGAATAACACCTTTCGAAATCCACCTTCATTGATATAACAAGCAAGCAAGTTGAAATCAAACAGCGAGATTCTAACTACGACTTATGTCTAGAAAAAGCCACTAAAAAAAAAATTAAGGGATGCAGCTATAAAAACTAGCTGACTGTTGCCAAAAATTTATGTGGCAAGTTGCAGCTGGACGTTGAAAAAAAAAGGCGATGGCAGCTGTTCCCCGAACGAAAAAAATTAGGAAGGCAGCTAAAGAGTAGCTGAAGGTGGAAACAAAAGAGTTTTACGATGAAACGAATGCGCAGCTGAAAAAAAATTGGAATTATTCTTATATCTAAGCAGGCGAGATCTAACTACGACTTATGTCTAAGTACGGTGGATTGCATGAAGGTGCTATCCTAAGTGGCCTCCTTTACCTCCCCTCACAGCCACCCTCAGCCTCTCGAATTATGCAGTATAAATTAACTCGGATAACACCTTTCGAAATCCACCTTCATTGATATCAAGCAAGCAAGTTGAAATCAAACAGGCGAGATCTAACTACGACTTATGTCTAGAAAAGCCACTAAAAAAATTAAGGGATGCAGCTATAAAAATAGCTGACTGTTGCAAAAATTTATGTTGGCAAGTTGCAGCTGGACGTTGAAAAAAAAAGGCGATGGCAGCTGTTCCCCGAACGAAAAAAAATAGGAAGGCAGCTAAAGTAGCTGAAGGTGGAAACAAAAGAGTTTTACGATGAAACAATGCGCAGCTGAAAAAAAATTGGAATTATTCTTATATCTAAGCAGGCGAAGATCTAACTACGACTTATGTCTAAGTACGGTGGATTGCATGAAGGTGCTATCCTAAGTGGCCTCCTTTACCTCCCCTCACAGCCACCCTCAGCCTCTCGAATTATGCAGTATAAATTAACTCGGATAACACCTTTCGAAATCCACCTTCATTGATATCAAGCAAGCAAGTTGAAATCAAACAGCTATAAAATAGCTGACTAACTTTGCAAACTCTAGGTTGGAAAGTTGCAGCTGGATTCGTCAAAATACTTCCCTTAACAATCCACTGACTCTGCCAACGGAAATATCGTGTCCCTAACACATCCACTTGTTTTGACCCCACAATTAGATACATCTCGTCCCTTCCCTCCACTTTCTTTTGGCCACACCATCGAATACATCGCGTCCCTTCCCTCGCCCTTCCCGTGACTCTAACATACAAATACTGGTACTAATAGGTGCAATTAATATAATAAGAATAGCGAGGAGGTGTGACTTTCTCCTCATGCCGTGTAGTTAGTGAAAAGAGCATGCATGGATGAGGGACATAGCATCCCAGAGCAGTTAAGTACCTATAAACGGAAAAATTGGAACGAAAAATGAGTGGAACCAAATAGATTACTTCAAAACATCAAGTAAGAAAGTTGCATTTATTTACTTAGGGTGGCAAAGCTGGCCAGATGCAGCATGAGAGTGGTGAGTGAAAATGCTAGTAGAAAACCAGACAAGAGAGAAAGAATGAAATTGAGGCTTTCCACCAATACAAGAGTAGGAAGCAAAAGCTGGACACTACAAAGCAAATTACATCAATGTGTTATACCCCTTAGTGGCCTCCTTTACCACCCCTCACAGCCACCCACAACCACTCAATTAATTTTTTAATATTTATTTATTTATTGTCCCTCTTGTTTCAGGTCCTCAACAGGCTTACGCCCAATTACATAGTGACCCGCATAATGCTTTTTGGAGGTGCCCCTGCTGAAGGTCTTAAGTTGTTCTATACTACTCCGGTACTTACCTTACGAATTAGGAAAACTGCAGGAAAACCTAATTCGGAGTAGCCGGCAGAATGCTCGAAACTGATCTAAGGAAATTGCCATCTCTGCCACAGATGAAAAATTCACCTCAAACCAGGTTCGAACACCCGACCTCCGGATTTATACCCCAACGTTCTATACCACTGAGCTATAATGCCGGATATCTCAATCATTATCTATAAAACAGTACAGAGGTATAACACCTTATGAAGTAAATTTAATTTACAACAAACAATACACCAAATACCTATTACCTATATTTAAAAGGCAATAAAAAAAGGTTACGATGGATAAATAGAATGTGTAAATCGATACCAGAAAAATGCAGACAATGGAAAGAGATTAAAAAAATCGAGAAGAGTGGAAATCCGATATAAGAAGGTGAGAGTAAATGAACAAAGAAAGTAGAAAGGTAGTACAATCAAGAACTGAAGTCACATAAAAAAAATTGAGCCGCATTTATCAACAAGTGAAAAGGTTTTCGCCCTAATTTTCCATTAATTGGGCAGTACTTGCCAAAAGGACATAGCTCTGTCTTTCTTTACGAGAGTCATATATGCTCTAGAAAGGAAATTTCTTTAGAAAGGAATCTTCTTAAGTAAAAGTAAGCCTGCGCATGCGCACATCTGATTTTTATCATGCGATGTTTGCCTTTACTAGAAGTATCTGTGATTAAAATTTCCACAAATATATTAATAAATAAGAAAATTGACAATGCGCAGTTAATCGAACATTTTACTTGGTTCAGTGCCAGAGCTATGCACTACCGTATGCAAAAAGAACAAACGAAATATCTTGAAACCTGTAGGAGAAGTTAAGGCTTCGGACAAACGGTCAGACGATCAGACTTACGTAACTTCGTTGGAAAAAGCACTAAAAAATCAAAACACAGCACGAAACAAAAAAGTGGAAACGGTTAACAGTGAATAGTCGAGACGATGGGTCGTGCAATCATAATGCGCATTCAAGTCGAAGAATAGGTGAAAGAAACATGAAATTGCTAAGACAAATCTACTTTTGCATCAGGAAATGATCCAAACACACAAAAACACTAATATGGATCGGATATTACAATTAGAAAAATGCGCCAATAGGTGAGTTAAAGACAAAAAAAATGGTAAGAAAAAATAACCTCATATTGAAGATCAAGTAAGTGATCGAAATATTAACACCAGAAGAGGATGGTGTGATAAAAAATGAAAAAATATGGACAAGCTGTTTGATAAATGAAAGAAGGAAATATTTGAAGTGTGCACAACACCCAAAATGAGTAGGTAATTAAAAGAAGACGAAAGATAAATCCCACCCATAAAACTTGAAGACAAAGGAACCATGACGCAAAAAGAAGTACAGTACGTTTTTATAAATATTGGCCAATTGGGAACCAAAAATGAATAAGTAGCGGAAGTGGATACCTACATACCTAAACAAGGCAAATTTACATACAGGTGCCATATCCCTTAGTGGCCTCCTTTACCACCCCTCACAGCCACCCTCAACCACTCGATTTGAAGCGTTTAATTTTTTTAAATCTTAATCATGATTATTAACAAAAACATAACTACACGATAGAGTTATAACACCTTATGAAATGAGCCTTAATTTAAAACAGTACTAATTGTAAGGTCGCAGCTGACATACGCCCAGGAAACACCTGCCAACCGAACTGCTTCCAAATTGGTATACTATAAGCAAAATGTATTATGTATTATGGTCATGCATCCCAGATGCACAACCAAAAGAAAAAACGAAAATAATAAGGCGTTGACTATCACTCAACTTGGAAACGGAAGACTGATTCCAATGTCTCTTTTACAGGCTCGTTTGCAAAGACAATCGCTTTACTTCATAAAAAAAAGTACAACTATGAATTCACAGTCCTACACGTTAATATGATGCAAATGATTGATCCTGCCAGAGAGACCATTCGAAGAATCATTGCAATCAATCTTCTTACCAAGATGAGAAGACAACTTACACTGTACTTACGATGTACGAGAATCCATTGAAAACTTCTTTAGACACTATTCACTTTTCCCCCACTGCTGAAATGAAATGAATAAAAGAAAAAATCCTACCTTTATAAAACTGCCCTTCTGGAATCTGTAACAAGCAGAAAATTAACGTTAAAAACATTTCTAAACTGTGCTTACTTAAAATTAAGTGAGTTATAAAGAGAACTTTTTATACAAGAGCTTACAAGAAAAAGAACTAAATCGCTTAATTTATATTATTTAGGTAGATATATATTATATGAACTATAAAGTGTAAATATAAATGAAAATGCTACTTAGTAAAATCAATTACTCACCTCTCTTTAAAAACTATGACGCCGATCTTCATATAGGTAGTAATAAATGAGACATAACAATCCTCGAAACCATGGCACTTGGTAACGAAAGAATTGACCTCAAAACTTCTCTATAGTCTGGTTCGCAGACGAATCCGTTCAAATCATATCATTAGCGTGACTATGAATTCATAGCCACTTTTTAATATGATGTAAACTGACTCAGGCAGCAAAAGGGACTATTCCAAGAATTATTGGGGTCAATCTTACATTGCCAAGATTATAGACTGAGAAGATAGTCACAACTCATTTACTACTCTCTTAGTTGGCTGAATACAGTCGGCGATCTTCCTTTTAGTCACTATATGCACTATTCACTTTACCCCCCTTTACACAAAAATATGACATGCAAAACACCATGCAAAAGAGAAAAATCCTACCTTCATAAGACTGCCCTTCTCTAATCTTAAAAACGCGAAATTTACCATTAGCATTAATTTCGGCCTTGCCTGGGCAGGATCATCAAGGAGGAACGATGCACTGCAGAACCGTTGGGTAATATCTACCATGTCTTCAAAGATTATGGGGAATTAACCGGGTGCAAAGCGGTCCCACGCTGCAAATTGTAGACATGGAAATCCCAGTGACCATCAAAACGACTGTCCTGGAACCTGAAACAAGAAACAAATTTTCGTCAAAAATCTGCCAAAATATATATATTTCAAATTATTTATTCAAAATATTCAAAAATTGAAGTCTCTTTAAAGAAGACTTCCTGCTACAATCGAGGAATAAAACTCAAAATACTATTCCTTGTAAGTATAAAAAGTGAAAGCTTACCCTTTGGTCTCTCCTAGGAACGCTCTCAAAAAATTTGTGCCATTGTCACTGTATATATGTGCACGATGTCCTCGTCTGGAGATGAATCTTCTCAACGCTGCTACGAACGGTTCTGTAGTCATGTCGCTTACTACTTCCAGAAGTATTGCCCTGGTTGTTGGACATAAATAGTGCAATGTATCCTTTATGCTTTCTGTCCTCCTTCTATCCATGATCTTATTTATCTGGATTCGCGGTAATCTATTCCGGGGTGCGTAAATGGAGTAAATTTGGAATTACCCTCGCTGCGGGTAGTCTCTCCCATTAGTTGCTGGACAGTCTGCGTCCTGTATCTGATGCATGTTGTGCATCCGAGAATCACTTATTTTTTGCCGTTTAGTAGCCAATCTTCCTGCGTAGACATGCCAGGATGATCTGGATCCCTCCATGGAGCACTTCTTGCGGAGCATCTAACGTGACTAGTCTTGTGAGTTGTTGCCTTGGTGGTAGTATTATGGGATGAATTTCGTCGAACGATAGCTATGGATTTTGTAATCTTCCTCCGCTGATGTGCTTGAAGTGATTTTACTTCTTTATCGAATTGCTGCCGTTGTGTCATTGTGATGACTTGATGCATTTGCTCCAGGACTTGCTCTGATCAGCTCTTGTAGTTCTAGATGCCTGTGCTGACTTTGCGGTCCTCTGCATGCCTTGCTGAACCGACTGCAGTATGCGATCACCCGTTGTAGCGTCGGTTTATGATACTACTCTCGTGTCCTAATTCTATTGTTGTGGTTATCGCTTCATCTCTAGGTTGGTGGTGACCTGTAGTATTTAAGTATGCCTCCCATTCGTTTCGTTTTTAGCTATTCCCGCACATTCCACCATATGGATCTGTCTTTATTGTGGTTGCTGGACACCCCCTTGATAATATGTCGGCTGGATTTTCTTCCGTGGAAAGTGAGCCCACCGTTAATGTGGTACCAATTTTCTGATTTCTTGATCACCCCATTTAGTGCTGCACTCGACCTGCAGCTGAGACTCTGGCTCAACCAATACCAATAGTAGTCCCCCGAAGATGTCTTTAATTCTAACTACCGCCGCCGTTGCTAGTAAAACTTCTTTTCTTCTGGAAATGCGCGTACTCGAAACTCAACTGACTGTCTTGATGCGTGTACCACTGAGACTGCATGCGACGAGCTTTAAGTTATTCTGATGCAATAGGGTGTATTGGTGGTATTGGCATATTCTGCAGCGATTAAACGAATAGCATGTGTTGTGGCAAATGTGGTCCATACATTTGAAAGTTTTCTATCACCAATGTTTGCCTTGCTGGTGTCGACAACACTTGTGCTGTTGCTGGCCTGTTAACGATTTGTCTGCCAACTCTGGTGACCTTGGACTGACAAATGTTGAGCTTCTCGAGCTTTAAAAAAAAAGCACTTCTAATGAATTCGATTAACTTCTCCAGGGAAGGTGTTTTGTTTGGCGTCTGTAGAAATTCTTCGAACAACTTGTGTGACTCTGCGTCCCATATGCACACAACACGCGCTCGGAAGTTGTTTAACAACTGCGCAAATCATTAGCTACCTCTATCGAGAATTTTCAGAGGAAAAGTTTGGCCGTCTCGTCGAACCCACCCTACTCATGAAGATTCGGCATGTTATTAATCATTGAAAAACAGGCGATGGCTGTTGAATTGCCATAGTCGTTCACGTTTGAAGGTAAGTAACTGCAAAAAAAAATATAATAAGAAAAATATAATATCACAAAAGGCGTATTCAATAGACTTAATACAGAAATGCTAAAAATATCATGATAGGGGTGTACTCACCTCACTCACAACCATTGCCATGCTGAAACAGGGTTGATGGTACGACTCATTAGCATGCTTTTCCTTAATTTTCTTTTCACCACACCATCCGATACATCTTGTCCTAATCCTCCATTTTTTATTGGCCCCACCAACTGATACACCGCGACCCTTCCCTAAACTTTCCATTTGCCCCACCGATGCGCGTCCCTTCCCTTAACAATCCTTTGACCCTGCCAACGGATACATCGCATCCTTTCCCTACATTTTACATTGCCCTATCATCGAATACATCGCATCCCTTCCCCCCATTTTACATTGGCCACCCGACGGATACATCGCGCCCCTTCCCTCAACTTTCCTTTGACCTCACAACTGCGCGTCCCTTCCCATAACATTCCTTTGACCCTGCCAACGGATACATCGAGTTCCTTACGTCCACTTTGCTTTGGTCCCACCAACCGAAACTTCGTGTCTCTTCACTCCATTTTACATTGGCCCCCCAACGGACACATCGCGTCCCTTCCGCCGACTTTCCTTTGACCCCACAGCTGCGCGTCACTTCCCTTAACAATCCATTGATCTGCCAATGGGTAGGTACATCGCGTGTCCCTAACATCCCCGTTGCTTTGACCCCACCATCGGATACATGATATGTGTCTCTTCTCCCCAGTGCTCTTTAGCAGCATCAACCGATACATCGTGTCCCCTTCCACCACTTTTCTTAGCTCCCATCAAAGCATAGGTACATCACGTCACATCCAAGCAAAGCAAATTACATAAAGGTGGTATAGCTCTTAGTGGCCTCCTTTACCACCCCTCACAGCCACCCTCAACCTCTCAATTAAGCATTTAATTTTTTGATATCTCAATCATTATCTATAAAACATTACAGAGGTATAACACCTTATGAAATTAACTTTAATTTACAACAAACAATACACTGAAAACCTATTACCTATATTTAAAGAAGGCAATAAAAAAAAAGGTTATGATGGATAAACAAATTGAATGTGTAAATCAATACAAGAAATGAGGAAGTTAAGCAAATAGACAATGGAGAAAGAATAGAAAAATTCGAGAAGAGTGAAATCCGATATCGGAAGATTAGAGTAAATGGACAAAGAAATGATGAGCTTGAAGTACAAGCAAGAACTGAAGTCATTCCAAAAAAAATTTATCAAAAAATGGAAACACAGAACAACTTTTAACAGTGGAAACGGTTAACAATGAATGGGCGAGACGACGGGTCTTGCAATCATAATGCGCATTAAAGTCGAAAAATAGGTGAAAGAAAAATGAAACTGGCAAGACAAATACACTTTTGCAGAAAAAGTTCCAAAAAACACACAAAAACACTAATATGGATCGGATATTACAATTAGAAAAATGCGCCAATAGGTGAAGGAAATACTTGAAGTGTGCAACGCCCAAGTGATACCATTGGAAGAAAGGGTTGAAGAAAAAACATAAGGAGAAATAAATGAGACAAGGCAAAAAGAAGCAGTGTTGAAAAGAGAAAAACAAAAATAAGAAGAAATTAAATGCAACACAGGCTAAAGGTTAAAGACAAGAAAAAATGGTAAGAAGAAATAACATACTATTGAAGATCAAGTAAGTGGTAAGGTCAAATTGATACTTTTATATCAGAGCAGAAATCAGAAACAGAAATTACAGAAGCTTACAAGATCAAGAAAGAATTGTGGTAGCCAAAATAACTACAGAACTACTAATAAACAAATCAATATATTTTTAGGGAATGACCAATCAAGAAATGAGTATACAAAACAAATACACAGAAAATGCGAAGAGTGAAAAAGAAAATAAGAGAAAAAGTGGGATAGAGATAGATGCTAAGAATTGTCATCAAATTTTGAAAAAAAAAATCTTAGCGTCCATAATTTGGGATACCTACAACCGATTTCCACAAGCAACTCAGTATAAACACAAGAACATATTACAAAGAACAATAAAGAACGCAATATGGAAATATAACAAACAGATCTATCAGCCAGCAAGTGTCACATATGAATGAAAACCATACAAGGTACAAACTGAAAAGAAATTTAAAAGGATTTGGATGCATTAGCAGTGAATAAAACCAAAAAAATGGTTAACTGGTCAAGAAATATTTAAAAGGGAGAGGAAACGGGCGCGTCGGGATCCCTCAACTTGGCGGCCGATGGGACCACACCGTCCTCCCAAGGGTTCGAGGACAAGGGGAAAGAAGGTTGCGGCGGCCTCTCCAAATGCCGTGTGTCGGTAAATAAACCGTTGTCGCTGAAGAAAAGAAGGCACAGAAGAGGGTGGCAAAGGCAGCGTCCGCGTAAAAAAGAACCGGTGCTTCGGCGTCTTCTGCTCAAGACGACGGCCCCGGCCCCGTCGACACCCAAAAAGACGACGAAAGTGCCCACGAAAAAGCAAAAAGCTCCCAAACAGAAAAAGGTGAAACAGACCAAGAAAACCTGCGACCGGTTCACTCAAGAGATAATTTGGCAGTTTCACAAGTTGCAAAATGCATCCCAAGAAAGGAGTTTGCCAACCACACTACATTTTCCTCCTCAAACCTAGATTCCTTTAGAAGGAAATCTTTTAGATTGTAAGCAAATGTTTCATTTTATAAATATGAAAAACGTAAAGCATTTTACTTTTTAAAAGCAAGACCTTTTCCTTCACGTTTTTTGCATATGACTTGAAGGAATTGCGTTATTTTTGAAACAAAGGATAATCTTTTTTTTATAAATATTGGCTAATTAGAAACCATAAATAGTAGCGGAAGTGGGTACATATCTAAACAAGGCGAATTTACATACAGGTGCTATATCCCTTAGTGGCCTCCTTTACCACCCCTCACAGCCACCCTCAACCTCTCGATTTGAAGCGTTTAATTTTTATAAATCTTAATCATGATTTTTAAAAAAAAACATCACTACACGATAGTTATAACACCTTATGAAATGAGCCTTAATTTAAAACAGTACTAATTGTAAGGTCACACCTGCCAACCGAACTGCTTCCAAATTGGTATACTATAAGCAAAATGTATTATGTATTATGATCATGCACCCCAGATGCACAACCAAAAGAAAAAACAAAAATAATAAGGCGTTGACTATCAGTCAACTTGGAAACGGAAGACTGATTTCAATGTGTCTTTTACAGGCTCGTTCGCAAGGACAATCGCTTTACTTCATAAAAAAAAGTACAACTATGAATTCACAGTCCTACACGTTAATATGATGCAAATGATTGATCCTGCCAGAGAGACCATTCGAAGAATCATTGCAATCAATCTTCTTACCAAGATGAGAAGACAACTTACACTGTACTTACGATGTACGAGAATCCATTGAAAACTTCTTTAGACACTATTCACTTTTCCCCCACTGCTGAAATGAAATGAATAAAAGAAAAAATCCTACCTTTATAAAACTGCCCTTCTGGAATCTGTAACAAGCAGAAAATTAACGTTAAAAACATTTCTAAACTGTGCTTACTTAAAATTAAGTGAGTTATAAAGAGAACTTTTTATACAAGAGCTTACAAGAAAAAGAACTAAATCGCTTAATTTATATTATTTAGGTAGATATATATTATATGAACTATAAAGTGTAAATATAAATGAAAATGCTACTTAGTAAAATCAATTACTCACCTCTCTTTAAAAACTATGACGCCGATCTTCATATAGGTAGTAATAAATGAGACATAACAATCCTCGAAACCATGGCACTTGGTAACGAAAGAATTGACCTCAAAACTTCTCTATAGTCTGGTTCGCAGACGAATCCGTTCAAATCATATCATTAGCGTGACTATGAATTCATAGCCACTTTTTAATATGATGTAAACTGACTCAGGCAGCAAAAGGGACTATTCCAAGAATTATTGGGGTCAATCTTACATTGCCAAGATTATAGACTGAGAAGATAGTCACAACTCATTTACTACTCTCTTAGTTGGCTGAATACAGTCGGCGATCTTCCTTTTAGTCACTATATGCACTATTCACTTTACCCCCCTTTACACAAAAATATGACATGCAAAACACCATGCAAAAGAGAAAAAATCCTACCTTTATAAGACTGCCCTTCTGGAATCTTAAAATCGCGAAATTTACCATTAGCATTATTAATTCCGGCCTTGCCTGGGCAGGATCATGAGGGAGGAATGTTGCACTAGGACTGCAGCTGCTGCTCTCAGTAACAACCTTGCCATCGTTGATTTTGCGGTGAGTAACGTCACTTCCCCTTGTTCCGCTCTTGTATACATCACTACTCCATAGCCAATATAATCTCAGATTGGTTCCCTTGGTGTAGGTGTCCATAGTATAGACTATATATAGTGTGATACCTGTGGTGCCCTTCTGGAATCTGTAACAAAGAGTAAACGTATGATAAACAAGTTAAAAAAGTAATCGTAAACGCTTTACAAAAAGAGCATTTCCACTTGCATTCATTTCCCATTTGTAAGATAAAACTTCTGCTAAAATCGTAAAAATCCGGCCACAAATATGAAAGATAGCTTTGCATAGGTGCAGTCCATTTTTGACGTGCTACTTCAATATCAGTTTATAAGAATTTCATTTCAATGCTTTCATAAATAAAAAAGTAGGAACAGCGCATGCGCAAATTTAAATTTTGAAACTAACTACCTATTATTAGATTTTCCTTTGTTCCAAGTGACTATGTATCAAATTTCATTTAAATATTTATTTATTATACCTCTCTTGTTCTGGGTCTAAGGCAATTTCCACCTCTGCCACAGATGAAAAACTCACCTCAACCCAGTTTCGAACACCCGACCTCCGGATTTATAACTCAACGCTCTACCATTGAGCCATAATGCCGGAAATACTTTTATGAATACAAAAGTTTGCAATTCGGTTTATAAATGGTCGAGATGCGAAAAGAGCACTGTGAATTTTGAATCGATTCGAATCAACTTTCGGCATTGCGTTATATATGGCTCACGCTATGCCCATATTGAATTTCATGCAATTCGGTTCATAACTAAAGGAGATGTTAAAGCGATCAAACATTTCTAAACAAAGTTATCGTTCAGACAGATGGACAGACAGACAAGGGAACCGACGGACAGACGACAGACAGCAATAGTCTCGGCACCATAACGAACAATAGCTCTTAAGATAAAGAAGTAGTAGTAGCATTCCAACGGATGGTCGGACGGACAGACGAACAGACAAAGTGGCCACAATAGCGCATATTTTTTTATTTTTGTGGAAATGCGCTAAAAAGGTTTCCACATTCTGAAGTTATATTTTTATTATTGTTAATACTGAAATTAATTTTATTTTTCATAGTATTCTAATTAACGGTCAAAACTTTAAGAGCGAATATCTCCAAAACGGTTTGTCTCAATAGGCAAATATCTTGCAAGCGAAGTGAAGTGTAGATTTTGAATGTATACCAGGCGGCCTTGCAAACTGTAAAATAATTAATCCAAATGCTTCGCTGTGGAAAATCATGCTTGTGACAAATACGGTTTGGGATTTACTTGATTGCAATAGTTTCAATACTGTAATACTCAATATGATTGAATCACAAATGCAAAATCTTATCACACACTTTACATGAAATCTGTAAAAACTAAAAACGTTCCAAGCTTCGTATCGATATTGGAAAATAGGATATCTTTAGAATTGTTTTAAAAAAATAAGATCTTAAAAACTTTCCAAACATTTTGGAATTTGGAAATGTTTTCTCGCCACCGACAAGATAACCAAACAGTAGTTGCTGAATTTGTTGGACATATAGTCGCTTTATTTGGATTTGGATAATTTGGCAATAAAAATTGGAAATCGCGACGAAAAAAATCCAAAACGTTTGGAAAATTTGTTCCTAAAAAGTTGGAATTTGAATTTCTTGTTTGTCCCTAATGCACCCACCAGTTTCAACTTATGAACAGAAAACTAAAAGAGTGAAGACCACCCCTTTATAGCGCACATTCAAAGATCTAGAAGATCTACGTTGTTTAGAAAACATTCCTGAATCAATTGCAAAAAAAATAAATTGATCATTACTCCAATTCTGATTGACTATTAATACTAAAACCAAGACACTAAGTGTTTTAGTTTTGAAATGAAACAAAAAAAACACAGGTAAGAGACACAATTCTAAGGAACAAAAACATTACGTATTCAGTCTCGGGTAAGTAAACTTTACAAAAGTAAGCAATTATCAATGATCTAATGGCCCGTATGAATAAAAGTAAGCAAATGCTTATACTTGCAACATTCAAAGTAAATACTCGTAAGTGCTCCTTCGCACTGGGCGACTTAGCAGCGCTTCTAAGCAGAAGAACAGGACGCAGTGCAGCGCTGCTAAACCATGCTAAACAGACCAGTATGAAGGGGAAGTTACGAGTATTTACTTTGAATTTTTCAAGTATAAGCATTTGCTTACTTTTATTCATACGGGCCAATAATTATAATCAAATTCTAAAAAAGCGAGTGTTATAACAGATGTAAACGGCAAACTGTTTACAGTAAGGTATGATAAGTTGCCTATCAACAAATCCTCATTTCCACGTAACGCCTACGTTTTTGATTCATTCAAATTCGAATAACCAAATATTTTCTACAAATTTTGCAATTTAACAGATAAATGACCCTTGTAACAAACAGATCTTGGCAGCTTTCAATTAGACCACATATTTTGAAAAACAATTCTTGAATACTAGCATTGAATTGGAAGTTTTACTTTTTAAAAATACTTGTAAATCTTATCACATACTAAAATTTGCTTAAGGGAACGCATAAACAAGACAATAAAAAAATACAGTAGAATATGTTGGGTTTGTGCAAGTTCCAACATTTTACCACACACCTTTCATGCACAGGCTTTAGAGATGGTGTTGTGTATTGTACGATTATTCCCAGTCAAAATTGGAAGACTTTGATCACCTGATACATTTTGCCTTGGATAAATTACTTTGACGCTGCATCCAAAATGGTTCATTTAAAAAATAAAGCCGTTATACCTACTCAAAGATTGAGAAGATCAAAAAAATACTACATCTCAATTATTTGATTTTCAAACCAAATGATTAATTTCATAAGGATCGTGAGTATCCAGAGCTGGGTAGTGGTAGGCAGTACTTTATTTAGTAGAAGTATGTTAGCCCTAAACTTCCTGAAAAGAATATTAATCAATCAGAAAGTGCTTTGGGTTTCAGAATAAAATTGATTGTGTGAACACTTTAAGTACATAGGCTACACTGTTTCATGGCATTACAGTAATGAAATTACACCTACAAATTATCCTGGTTCACAAATTGTAAGATGTTTGTGCATTCCTTGCCCAGCACCTTAAAATAAGCGACAGAATGCTACGAATGCTGCGTACAACTAAGTGTGCATTTTAAAAAACCTGTCTCTTTCACCCAGCTCTGCTTACCAATATAATCGCGCTATACAAACATAAATAAGAAATTATTACCAATAGAGTGCGGTTGGTTGCCTAACTTCCAGGTTTTAACCATTTTAGAACACCTTTCTTGCGCGCACATTGTGGGGCGGAGTGATGTAGTGTCCCACTTTCAATATTAGACCAGCCCTTCAACATTGTTCAATTGTCGTTGGAGCAGGGAGTTTGGCAATTGGTCCACCTAAAAAATATGGCGGCATTAAAAAACTGAAGCAATAACAAATGTCGGTATTACAAAAGTATTAAAATTAATTTTGTTATTTTAAAGGAAAAGAATGATAGCGTAAAGTTGAGATTAATATGGTGTAGAATTTCATAAACTTGTACTACATAGGTATGAAAGTTGTTCCAATGTTTCATATTTAAACAAAATCAGTAGAGGAAATGAACTATAGTTTTTATTCGTGCAAGTAACAATTTTAATATTTTTCGATATCATGAATAGAGCCCACATTTGGGCAGTACAATGTCACTCTGAGTCGAAGGTACGATCGCCAATCGCATAAATGAAATCGTATATACATAAATCTCAAGTAATCAGTAACAAAACGCACTTGACGTAATTAAGGACAAAGTGCTTGAACTTTTAATAATTTAATACATCAACTTATTTATACTTATTATTTATGAGATGCATACCAACTTCTGGAAACATTTAGTTCCAGCAAAAAACTTTAGCCACAGATTAGCATTAAAAAATGGCACTAGAAAATATTTCTCATATAGAATATTAGTTGTAGGTATAAACTTAATTTTAGAAGACCATGTGGCCAAATGATATATGCCTACCTTTTTTTCTGTTTTGGCCCATAAAACGATCTAATCTTTTTGTGTTCTGAAATTAGAATGATTGCTTCAAGCAACTCTAATTTTATTAGTTTTCGTGGTAGCATAGATATAATTGCAAACCATGTCTCCTAAAGGTTGATTCACACTTTAAAACTAAACTAAATAAACAAGTACAAAAATTATTATGAAATTATAGTTCACTAAAAATTGACCTTAGACCTTTACAAACAAATCGGCAAACTCAGAGTGCTTCCTCAAATTTTTGGGAAGCTTACAAATTCAAGTTTCAAGTACAAAGTGCTTGCAGACCTTTATCCAAAAAGCTTAGTGTTTCCTTTCCAACTAGAAATTACATTTAAAAGGAAATCATAATCGCCAGACTTTGTTATTAAGGTATGCAACTTGCAAGTACCCGTGGTGTTACTGCTAACCACATAATTTCACTTTGAGGTAAATAATTGCAACATGAAAAACATAAATGGCAAAGCGTTCACAGTAAAGCGAGATTAATTATGTTGGCTTGGTGCAACTACTAAGTACCTACTACACTTTACAACACACCTTTTATGGACAGGCTGAAGAGATGGAGTTGTGTATTCCCACCGTCAATATCGGAACGCTTTCATCTACCGATACATTTTTCCTGGGATAAATTACTTTCATGCGCGCATCCAAATCAGTCCACCTAAAAAATACAGCCTTTATTGATACATTCAAACAAGGGGCCATACGATTGAGAAGAGCAAAAAAAAGTACATCGTAATTATTTGATTTTTTCATGCGGCAAGTGAAATTATTAATTTTATAAACGACAGTGAGTATCCAGAGCTGGTTAGAGATTATAGGAAAAGAGCACTTTAATTAATAGAGTATGGTTGGTTGTCTAACCACACAGCATTATTTAAAATGCATGTCCTGAATGAAATATTGTAATAATTAACTGTATAACACGACAAGTCCAGAGGGTGGAATTTTGGAAGTGAAGCTCCCTGTCATTTACCTCATCTGACAAGACGAAGCTGGTAATGATAAGATAATCAAGTGTTTGATAAATATGAACTTTGCTAGCTAATGTGGCTGACGTAATTATTTTCTCAAAGTACTTACAAGAAAAAACTGGGAAAAGGAATTCACATAATAGTAAAATCTTCAATATGAAAACATCTCCAGAAATTGAAAATCGTGGACCAAACAGATTGATTCAACAGAATTTTGGTAACCGAACATTCATTATCAACAAAAATCTACTGTAGCAATCAAATCAGGCTTGATTTTCGGTAATCGCAATCACTTTCCGAATATTTAAAAATTTGCAAAACTATTAGGACTGAAATTCCTGCAAAGAATACACTGAATCCAAAAGTGCATAGTGTACATAGGCTGCACTTTCTCGCGGCAGTACAGACTAATCAATCGGTACCTAATGGAATTAAAACTACAAATCGGTTTGGTCCGCAAATTGTAAGATGCTAGTGCATTCCCTGGGAGCACCTTTAAAAATAAGCGACAAAATGCTTCTAATCCTGCATACAACTAAAATGCCCCACAGACGGTACGACAAGTCGTATCAAACATCGTTTCAACTTGTCGTACGAGGTAATTCCATACGAACGTAAACTCCACACCGGTACAATTATCGTTCAGAATGGTAGTAATATTAAATAGTCATACGACAAATAGTACTATCTGTAGGGCGTTTTAAGTTAGCTTGTTAAAAAACTTAACGCTTGTACCTGCTTACGAATATATTCGCAGTAGTATAGTAAATTTGTACCTAACAAACAAAAGGTTAAAAAGAGAGTATGGTTGGTTGCCTAACTACCAGGCTCTAACCAATTTATCTGGGACGAGCAGCTACAGACAATAGCCAGGTTGCGGACAGCATTTTCCGTTATGTTAGACGGCCATTTTTCCTTATAAGTTTATAAGTATAAAACATTTTTATAGCAAAGTTAAGTTGCGGTGTGTGCTGGGCGTGTTCAATTTTGCTTATAAGTTTGAAGGAGTCTTAACCTCACTTTTATTTGCATTGTGTTAAAATGTCCAAAGTTCACTACTATGCTCTTAGACAAAAAGAAAAGAACTACCGCCAACATAAACACTACACAATTGTAGGTTAGCAGGAAAATGTTATTTATGAGTGATTACGTACTGCGCAGTGACACATTATAAGAACTTCATTTTCATTGGTTCCGCTATTTATAAATATATCGTACAAAAAGCCCTCATACCGTAAATTATTTCTACAAAAATTTATATTTCTTATGTTATAAGAAAAAATGGCCGTCTAACATAACGGAAAATGCTGTCCGCAACCTGGCTAGTAACTGCGGTGACATTGGGTGTGAGTCTTTAGATTATTGGCAAGTTTAAGATTGTTTTTTTAACTGTTTTAGAAATGCCAATATACGAATATTCTTAATGAAGCTACTAAAATATTGTAAATGACTTACACTGCACTAAATAAACAAGTGCAAAAATTATTATCGACCTTGGGCCTTAATAAATTGACAAAACTCACGAGTGTTCACTAAAATTGTTGAGGTTCTTGCAAATTCAAGTTTGGGTATAAAGAGCTTACAGGCCTTAATCCAAAAACCATAGCGTTTTCAACTGGAAATCACAATCGGCAAAATTTGTAAAATTCAATTAAACGAATTGGTGCTAAGGTATGTAAGTACTTTGTACAAGTACACTTTTGAGGTAAATAATCGTTGCATGGAAAACATAAATAGCAAAGAATTCACAGTAAAACAAGAATAATTATGTAGGTAGGTGTACGCCACGGTTGTAACGATTTTCCAACACACCTTTCATGCACTGAATGATGGAACATGTGAGTAATGTATAGATGTCCATACTGCCAACATTGCAATACTAGCTCTCCCGCAGTTTTCAATTTTCCTTGCATCAGGTGTTCATTTTGGCGCAGCATTCAATGACTGGTGAAACACAGTGACGTAATAGTGTAACCACACTGCCTATATTGGGTTTGGCTTATCAGTAGTTTGAATTTTCCTTGAATCAACTCCTTTGGTACAGCGTCCTATTGGTCCACCTAAAAAAATATGCTGTATTACAAATTTTGCAGTCACAAGAACCGTTATGTAGCTAACATTAGTTTTCGCCCTTTGTATTATTTTTAGAAAAGAGAAGAAAGGTAGAAAAGGACGAGAGAAATATTAAAAGATAAACCTCTTCATGCTCCAATCAAATGATAAATCTTAATAAACAACATAGTGTTGGTTTTCGGAAATCTGTTCGCATTAGTTTTAGACTGTGCTCGTCGTCCTGCATTAATGCTGGACAGTACACCTGTTCCGTTGCCAGAAAACGCTTGATTTCGTTCCACGATATCCGAATTCTGTGTAGATGAAGAAGGGGTCAAATATTCCTGTGAAAGGTGAATGCTTTAGCTAGACAATAACGCTGGGGTTTACTAAAATGTTTTAAAATAATCTTTTTCTTAAGGGTAACGTCGAGGGCTGTTAGGGTGCCATATTTTGGAAAAAAAGGAAATAAATTTTCCTGGCGTTATTGTCTAGATATTAAGTTTACGAACTTAGCTCAATTTTGGAAATTGTTCCAACTTCATTAATAAATAAGTTATCTTGGAAAAACAACTTAAAAGTTTTCCTCAAAAGTGCAAAAAGATAGCTTCCGGCGCCCCGCTTGGATTATATGGATAGAAAATATACATTATAATTGGTCTAAGTTTCTGCCAGCAATCACAAATGAATATTATAAATGGCCAAATTTGGCAATTGAGAATATAGGCAACTGTCATTGGACTAATACCCCCCCATTAGTCAAGGGTACTGTCCAGCCTTAACATGATGTCGATACAATTAAGCACAATTCAATACCATAATCAAAATGGATTGCTATTTCCCATTCAACTAGATTTAGTGACTCAGTATAAAAGAACGTAGCAGGAAAAATCTAAACGTGATCGAACAACCAAAGGCGAAGAGAATACAATCATGTGATTTATATTCAGTAAAGTAGGTAATTCTAAATAGTTCTGGCCAAATGAATAAGCGGTTGTAATCATCTCTTAAATTACAGAAAATTAATTTGAAACGCTCACAAGGAAGTTCTTAAATTCTGACGGACTACAGATAGGTAATTGGTAATCACCACATCTACTTAAAAACACCATCCATTAGAGAAGTGGGTAAAACCCTTAATAAATCACAGTTAATTTCAAACTCTTAAAAGGATGTTTTCCGAGGAAGGCAGAAACGATACGGTTATCAACCCATCTACCTACAATACAACCAATACTCCTTAGCCAAACAAAAAAAGGTGGTAATCAATATGTAAAATTGTACAAATATTTCTGTAGGGGCTCACAAAAACTCACAATCCTTAGAAGAATTGGCAATTGTCCCATCTACTTAATCACACAAAATTTATTTCACATCCATCCATCCAAAATGATTTCAATTTCCGCAGAGACGCAAACAAGTGGTCTTCATCTCAAATTTAGAAATGAAATAACAAAACAGGTAAGAGCAAAAGGAACAAAACCATTGAATATTCAGCCGACAAAAGCGCATTTTCCCCACACAGAATCAGTAAACACCGGGAAGGAAGTGACCAGTCCAAATAAACTTTTGTCGTTCTGGTCCCTGGACTGTACTAACCGTATAAAAAAGAAACCACAACGAAAAAGCGTAAACTGGAGGTAGTGGTGCAAACGAACAGACTGACAAAGTGCGGACAATAGCATTCGTTTTCCTTTTAGAAAATGCGCTAAAAAGCGGGCGTTTAATAAAAGAAACGCCAAACAGTTTACAGTAAGGTATGATAAGTTGCATATCGACAAATCCTCACGTCTCATTTCTATAAAACACATATAATACACTCAAACCTCAATGGTACAATTTAATCAACCGACAAGCGTAGCAATTCATTAGCAACGAGTTTTGCTTAGGTCGTAATCAGTCACTTCTCCTATCTCTCTTACCTCTTACTGGCAGCTGTATCAGAATTGTGAAATTTATGACAGGATCATGAGACAAATCAGCCCTCGTCTAATGAATGTTTAAAAATTTGCAGATTAAGTAATTTTCAAATTAATAATGAAAAACTTAACTTAATGTTTAGGTATTATAATTGAATTAAATTACGATCAGATTTAACCAATTAAACTTGAAGAACTTCACAGACACAGGCTAGTTACAAAAAAAGACAAATTATCAAAGGCATCAGAATTTTTAGCAAATTTTATTGCATCAGGGAACTCGTCAAATGAAACTGTAGTTAACGAAAATGGGCCAATAGAAATGCTATGTGTATATTGTTGTATACCACTTGCTTTAGAAAAACCACCAGAATTACACTTAAAATTTTAAAAACCAATTAACATCACCGAAAAAGAGAAAAATAAAAGTAGATTCAATAAAATCAGACAAAATCGGATTACTTCATGGTTAGAATATGTTCATTCAAGTGAGAGAAAGAATTACCATTTAAAGACTATAAATTAAATGTGAAAATAGTACACTTCATTCTGGAGTACCACATACAAACATACATGAAGAACCATAAACTCGCGGGGCCCATTTAATTTAATGTTCAATACTGTTCAGCAAGTTGTTTGAAATACAATTTAAAAAAACTGCAAATCTCTTCTTCTTTTTCGGGGGCGGTCCATGAGTTTGGGGGCCTTTTAGTCATGGAGCCCCCGGGGCCCTTACCCACCCAGTCCGGCCCTGGTGCATACCAAAATGATACTACATACATTGGCATAAACGAATTTGTCTATTCCAGATATCACAAAAGCCTTTCCAAACGCCACTCCATATACCTAATAGAGATCAAGATGTAACAGCACAGAACACCAAGTCTCATGCTGTTGTGAATCATTCAAATTTAAAAAATCTTGTACAATTTTGCGATATAACAGTATACATCTTTTCTTTAAAAAGAAATTACACATGTAACAAATAAATCTTGGCAGCTCTTAATTAGACCATGTACTTTCAAAAACAACCCTTGAATTACTTTTGAAATTTCTAGTAAGGGATTGGGAGTTGCAATTACTGTTTAAAAATACTTGGTCATCTGATGAAACAACTTAACAACTAAAATTTGATTCAGTACCACAATCAAGAACATAAAAAAATATGGGTTGGTGCAAGTATACCAACACTTTACAACACACCTTTCACGCACAGGCTGAAGAGATGGGATTGTGTATCGCATAATTATTCCCACCGTCAATATCAGAACGCTTTCATCATCTGGCACATTTTTCCTGGGATAAATTACTTTGACGGGTACATCCAAATCGGTCCACCTAAAAAATACATACGTTATTGATATATTCAAACAAGGGGCCATACGATTTTAAGAAGAGCAAAAAAAACTACATCGTAATTATTTGATTTTTTCATGCGGCAAGTCAAATTATTAATTTCATAAAGATCGTGAGTATCCAGAGCTGGTTAGAGCTTATTGGCAAAGAGCACTTTATTTAGTAGAGTATGGTTGGTTGTCTAACCACACAGCATTATTTAATATGCAAATAGGTTACTAATTTACAATGTATGTACTAAATGAAATTATTGTAATTCATTTTGTATTACATGATTTAAGTCGAGAGGGTGGAATTTTGGAAGTGAAGCTCCTCCACGTCATTTACCTCATCTGACAAGACGCCACTGGTAATGATAAGATAATCCAGTGTTTGATAAATATGAACTTTAAAAGATCACAATCACCCCCTGTTTATGTAACGAATTGTTAATGGGGCTGATTTAATTATTTTCTCAGTCTTTACAAGAAAAAACTGGGAAGAGTTTAAAACAATTCACGCAAAAGTAAATCTACAATATGAAAATATCTCAAGAAATTAAAAAATTTGCAGAAATATTAGGACCGAAATTCCTGCAAAGGATATACTTAATCCAAAAGTGCATAGTACATGGGCTGCACTTTCTCGGCAGTACAGACTAGTCAGTCAGTACCTAATGAAATTAAAACATCATTTCAACTTGTCGTACGACGTAGTTGCCTACAAACGTAAACAAAGGACATTGCCACATATGGTGCGATTATTATCGTTCAGATGGTAGTATCGATCCAAAGCCGTACGACAAATCGGACTATCTGTAGGGCGTTTAAGTCTTCTTGTTAAAAAACTTGCCCCTTTACTTTACCTAGCTCTGCTTACAAACATATTCGCAGTAAGGTAGGTAATTGTAACTAACAGAAATAGATTGACAATAGAGTATGGTTGGTTGCCTAACTTCCTGGCTGTAACCAATTTATAGCACTTTTTCTATACAGGGAGTAAATGCGGTGACATTGAGAGTGCGTCTTTAGATTATTGGTAAGTAATTGACGGGAAGTAATCGGCCTTCGTTTCCGTGGTGTTTATTAGGGTAAATTATGCCACGATGAAAGTAATTCAAAAATTCTTCCACAGTGCAGTCGCGATAGGCACTCGAAATTCTGGACTTCCAAATAAATTTTTGAATTACTTTCATCATGGCCTAATTTACCCTAAACAACACCACCAATTATTGGTAAGTTTAAGATTGTTTTTTAGCTGTTTTCGAAATGCAAACTAGCTAGACAAATACTAAAATACTGCCAACGACTTACATGGCACTAAATAAACAAGTACAAAATTATTATGAAACTAATCCACTAAAAATCGACCAAAAACAAACAAGGAAACAGTGTTCACTCAAATTTTTGGGGTGCTTGCAAATTCAAGTTTGAGTACAAAGTGCTTACAGACCTTCATTCAAAAACCTTAGCATTTTTAACTGGAAATTACTTTTAAAAGAAAATCATGGTCTGCAGAATGGTGCTAGGGTATGCAAGTACTTTGTACAAGTGGTGTTAAACCACATCATTTCACTTTGAGGTAAATAACAGAACAGTAACATGAAAAACAAATAGCAAAAGTAAGGCAAAATTATATGCAGGTTGTAACGATTTTACAACATACCTTTCATGCACAGACTGGAGGAAACTTGTGATGTAGTGTATAAATGTCCACACTGTCTGTATGGAACACTAGCTTTTCCGTAGTTTGAATTTCCCTTGAATCCAAGTATTTATACTTTGGTACAGTATCCAAATTGGTCCACCTAAAAAAATATGCTGTATTACAAATTTTGCAGTTACAAGAACAGTAATTAACTAATATTAGTTTTCGCCCTTCGTAAGGTAAGGTATATACAGAGTGACAATTTGAAAACTTACCACCCCCATATCTTAGTAAATACACGAGATATTTAAAAAAATCAAAATCCGTTTCGGTAATTCGGAGGAGGAATCACAATGACATAGTTGGCGACGCCAATTTAAAGTCAAAACATCAATTTTAACAATTATCCTTCTACAAATAGATCATCAGGTGTATTCCCACCAATAAGACAATTTTCGGGCACCAATTCGCATTAGTTTTCGACTGTGTTCATTGTTGGGCCACTTGCATTGCACCGCCAAGTATACAATTAACAACATTAAAAATGGGTAGATTTAGTGACTCAGTATAAAAGAACATGGCAGACAAAATCTCAACTTCATCAAACAACCAATGGCGAAGAGAATACAACCATGCCATCTATTTTCGATAAAATAATTCTAAATGATTCTGACCAAATGAATACGCGATTTTAATCATCCCTTAAGTAAATCACAGAAAATTGATTTGAAACGCTCCAAAGAGAGTTCTTAATTTCTGAAAGACTATAGGTACCTACACACAATTGGTAATCTACTTAAAAACAATATCCATTGGAAAAGTGAGTGGAGTTGCACACAAACCTTAAATAATGCGCATGCGCAAAACCAAATTTGGAGCTGGCATTAGATTTGCTTTTTTATTCCAAGTGCCCATGGAACATAGTTCATTTAAACACCTTCATAAATAAAAGAGTTTGCAATTCGGTCCATAAATGGTGGAGATGCGAAAAGGGCACTGTCAATGTTGCTAACATTGCCATTACAATTCACAAAGTCCGATCTACAAATTTGATAAAGAATCTACCTACAAAATTTCATCGTAATCACTCCATTCATTATCGAGATATCGTGCCAACAGACGAACGGACAGACACCGCAAAATTATAAACTGACTAGGAGCTCGTTAATAAAGAGTTTTGTAATCAACCCTAAATCCCATAAAATTAATTTCCCATCCTCAGGAAAGGATTTCAATTTCTGCGGTAACCGTAAATGATCAACAATCACACCTTCTATACTTACAATCCCTACTTGAAAGATTTTAAAATCACCATCCTTAGGCCAAGTAAATATAAGGGGTTGTAATCAACCTTAGATCATACAAAATTAATTTTACATCCTTGAAAAGGATTTCAATTTCTGCCCAAACGCTAAATGGTCGGCAATCACGTGGTATCTCAAATGTATATAGATAAACTGTAATAATTGTATTTTCTCGATTCAATTTATTTAATTCGAACAGAGCAGAATCTCTAATGACCATCTCATTGAAAAAAAAAATATGTAACTAAGTAAACACTGCTAAGCAACCAAAACAACCGACATATATAACGATTGTACAGAAATTCCTGAAGAGGCACATAACAATTGGGAATCATCCCATCTACTTACTCTAATAAAAATCACCATCCATCGGCCAATTGAATAAAGGATTGTAATCAACCCTATCAATCACATAAAATTAATCTCACATTCTTGGAAGGCTTTTAATTTCTGCCGAGATCGAGACACTAGGTAAATGATCGGTAATCACCCATCTACTTACAATACAACTCCGATTCACTAGCTCAAGAAAAAAAAAGTACCTAATAAACATGTAAAATTGTACAATAATTTCTGAAGTGGCACAAAAGAATTGGACATCACCCCCATCTAGTTACCTACTTTATAATCACCATGCATAGGCCAAGTAAATAAGGGGATATGTAATCAACTCTCAATCACAAAAAAATAATTGCCCATCTGTTGAAAAGTGTTCTGTACAAACTTTGTATAAAGTATCAAGGAGTGAATGTTATAAAATAATTGAAGTAGTTGTATTCTATAAACAAATTAAAAAGCTTGTCAATATTATTCAACATCTTTGATTTTGAGTATGGATGTATCAAGATAAGATCCAGGGTACAATTTTCACACCATCCTTTGAAAAGAATTTCAATCTCTGCAGAGGCAGCAAGCCAGCAACGATTGGTTATTCAGCACATCTACTTACAATAAAACCCCTATTCATTAGCCAAAGAAAATAAGTAATCGACCATCCATCGCCCAGATGCATAAAGGGTTGTAATTGTAAACAACCCCAAATGACACAAAATTAATTTCACATTCTCAGAAAAGGATTCCAAATTCTGCAGACAAAAACAATTGGCATTCGACCTATCTACTTACAATACAACCCTGATTCCTGATTCATTATAATCAAGGGATGAAAAGATTTGTAATCAACCTTTCAAATTTCACAAAAATTAATAACACTGAAAAGGGTTTTAAATTCTAACAGTGGTACCTTCATCCCCGATTCATTAACAAAAGGTTGTACCCTAATAAATGTTAACTGCACAAAATTTCTGAAGGGCCAGAAAATTGAGGGATCACTCAGTCTACTTTACATTACTTTAAAATCACGATCCATCAGCCAAAATTAATTTCACATTCTTGGAAGGCTTTCGGTTTTGGCCGAGACACTAAATGATCGGCACTCACCCCATCTATTTACAATACAAATACAACTCCGATTCACTAGTTCAAGAAAACAACAGATTTTGATCAACGGTTAAAATTGTACAATAATTTTTGAAGTGGCACAAAAGAATTGGGCATCATCCCTTTACATATGTACTCTAAATCACCATGCATACATAGGGCAATTAATAAGAGGTTGTGTAATCAACCCTAAATCACACAAAAATAATTTCCCATTCTCGGGAAAAGGATTTCAATCTCTGCAGAAGCAGTAACAATTGGTTATTCAGCACATCACATCTACTTACAATAAAACCCCTATTCATTAACCAAAGGAAAAAAGCTCGAAAAAAAGATAGTAATCGAGGTGTAAAATTGTGCAAACAGTTCTGTAAGGGCACAGAACAATTGGGAATCACCTCATGTACTCTTACTTTAAAATCACCATGCATAGGTCAAGTAACTAAGGGGTTGTGTAATCAACACTAAATTACACAAAAATAATTTCCCATCCTCGGAAAAGGATTTCGATCTCTGCAGAGGCATCAGCAACGATTGATTACCTATCTAGCACATCTACTGTAATCAATCTTTAAAATTACCCTCACTGGAAAGGATTTCAAATTTTAACACCGGTACCTACCTTCAACTTCAACCCCAATTCATTAACCAAAGGAAAAAATCAATTGTAATAAATACCTATTAATTGTACAAGTGGCAGAAAATAATTGAGGAATCACCTCAGCATCTACTTAGGTACTTTAAAATCACCATCCATCAGTCAAATGAATAAAGGGTTGTAATCAACCCTAATTCACACAAAATTAATTTCACATCCTCGAAAAGGGTTTTCAATTTCTGCAGAAGCGAGAGAGATTGGTTATCACCCGATCACCCTGATTCATTAGTCAAAAGAAGAACTTTGAAATTGTACAAAAATTTCTGCCGGAGTAGGTACCTAAGTATACTCAATCGGGAATATCAACCCGATTCATTGCCCAAAGGAAAAAAGGTTGCATTTCACGTTTAAAACTTTATGAAAATTTCTAACGGGTACGAAACAATTTATAATTACCCCATCTACGTACATTCAAATTATTATCGATTGGCCCCCATAAATCACAAAAAATTAATGTCACCATTTGCAGATGTCGTTTCGTCCCCGCAGTCACAACAATCCCTTTTAATTTATCTAACTACTTATACCTATACTGAAAGCAATAGTCTACTTACCCCTTTAAAGATCGTTGATGATAGCAGAGGGGGCGCAAGAAAACTGCTTCCAAGGGTTCGATTACACTCTTCCCAAGGATTTTTGGGCAAACCTTCGGGGTTGACAACAGGATTACCTCAAAAACGGCAGCTTCCAATTCAACCATAGGACTGGAAAAATATTATGATATTAAAGATGCGAGATATGATCGCCAAATTAAAATTGGTAGGTAGGTACCTATAAGAGGAAAGAATCTAACCAGGCAGGTACCACTTAGGTACTTATAGGTAATTATTGCAAAATCAATAATTAAAGTCGCTCCACCTACCCCTCTTTAGATTAAATGAATTAATTAAACTATAGGAGTTGGTTAATAGGACAATTAAGTCAATAATTACTTACGTGAAAAGATAAATCCGATTGCAAGTCACGCTGGCAAGATGGCCGACTACCTGTTGGCGGTTAATGGCTCCGATTTGGCGCACTTTTCTTCTATAAATGCCTTCCAAAAAGGCTGCTGTTGATTTTGTAACGATGCTGTAAAATTATCACGATGTTAGGATGGCTATACACCTATTACGAGTAATTAATAAAACGGTTTTTAATGTTAACGCGTATAAAAATGAGAGAACGTTGAGCTAGCTTACCGCAGACATCACTACAAACCAAGCGTCTGTAGAGGTATGCGCAGAGACCCGCTTTTGAACGAAAATGGATACCCTTCAAAAGTCCTCAATCAACCATATTCACGCGTATAACAAAAATTAACGATTTCAAAACGGTTAATTACTTACCCTGGACGGTTAAATCGATTCCAAAATTTATCAAAGATTCTATTTCATGTAGGATCGCGCAGTATGCGTAAGTAATTAACCTTACTACTTTATTTATAGATATTCGCGCATTGAAATTACCAGAGATTATACTAAGTACCTACTCAGTAGCCAGGAATAGGTGTACAATGTACATCACTTAATACCTATTTCAGGGCATTTCTGCTAGCGAAGTTTATAAAAAGACGCGGGCGAGCTCAAGTCAGAACACCTGCACGATTGGTACTGCACCGAAGTCTACTAAGATACTATGCGTTCCAAAACATTTCGGTTCGGTTTTTCCACGAATTGTTCCTTACCCCCCAAGCTTAAGGAATCGAATACGACGGGCAAAGAAACGGATGCGTCCTTGAATTGAATTCAGCATTAGATAAAAGTAAATTAATACAAATTTTAAATATTTTCAATAGACAATCCCTCCCCTCGCCTCTGACCGTTAGTAATTCGATAGCAAAATTTGCCAAAACGTAGGTACTTATCGCTTTATTCAATTACTGTATTTATGTAAACGCTGCATTCAATAAAGCACTAAAGAAAATATTTAGAAGGCTTGTCACTAACCGAATTATCGGTCCAAACGTCTTTTGGCTACCTATACATTGAAAAGTTGGTTTCGTTAAACGAAGCGCGGCCAGACGTCTGCAATGCCGTGATTGGTACATTTCTAGAAAGCGCGTCAAGATAATTTGCCCCGGTTTGCAATATTATGTTTTGAATTTTTCCTAGAATTGCGTCTGCAATATTATTACCGCGATACCTTTGCGCTATCCGCGAATCCGCCTACAAATTTAATCGTAATCAGTTCATTTGTTATCGAGATAACGTGCGCTAACGGACGGTCGGACAAAATTATAAACTGACTAGGAACGTTGATAAAGGGTTGTAATCAACCTTAAACCCCATAAAATTAATTTCCCATCCTCGGAAATGAATTTCAAATTCTGCAGACAAAAACAATTGGCATTCACCCCATCTATTTACAATATACAACCCTGATTAATTGATCAAGAGACGAGACGAAAAGATTTGTAATCAAACTTTAAAATTGCACAAAAGTCACTCTGAAAAGGATTTCAAATTCTAACAGTGGTATGGTACCTTCATCCCCGAATAATTAACAAAAGGTTGTATAGGTACCATAAACGTTAACATACAAAAATTTCTGAAAGGCCAGTATAATTGAGGAATCACTCCGTTTACTTATGCCTTAGGTACTTTAAAATCACGATCCACCGCCCAAATGAATAAAGTGTTGTGATCACCCCTAATTCACATACAATTAATTTCACATTCTTAGGCTTTCAATTTCTCCCGAGACACTTAAGTAATGATCGGCATTCACCTCATCTACTTACAATACAAATAGGTACAACTCCGATTCACTAACCCAAGAAAAAAAAAGGTTGTAATCAATGTTTAAAATTGTACAATAATTTTTGAAGTGGCACAAAAGAATTCTACTTACTTTAAATCACCATGCGCATATAGGCCAAGTAAATAAGAGGTTGTGTAATCAACCCTCAATCACAAAAAATAATTTCCCATCCCTAGAAAAAAATTTCAATCTCTGCAGAGGCAGCAAGCCAGCAACGATTGGTTATTCAGCACATCTACTTACAATAAAACCCCTAGGTATTCATTAGCCAAAGGAAAGAAGTAATCGACCATCCATCGCCTAGATGCATAAAGGGTTGTAATCGTAAACAACCCCAAATCACACAAAATTAATTTCACATTCTCAGAAAAGGATTTCAAATTCTGCAGACAAAAACAATTGGCATTCGACCTATCTACCTACTTACAATACCTACAACCCTGAGTCCTGATTCATCAAGGGATGAAAAGATTTGTAATCAACCTTTCAAATTTCACAAAAATTAATAACACTGAAAAGGGTTTTAAATTCTAACAGTGGTACCTTCATCTCCGATTCATTAACAAAAGGTTGTACCTAATAAATGTAAACTGCACAAAATTTCTGAAGGGTGAGAAAATTGAGGGATCACTCAGTCTACTTTACTTTAAAATCACGATCCATCAGCCATATGAATAAAGGGTTGTAATCAACACTAATTCACAGAAAATTAATTTCACATTCTTGGAAGGCTTTTGGCTCGGCGTTTGGTTTCGGCCGAGACACTAAATGATCGGCACTCACCCCATCTACTTACAATACAAATACAACTCCGATTCACTAGTTCAAGAAAACAAAAGATTGTGATCAACGTTTAAAATTGTACAATAATTTTTGAAGTGGCACAAAAGAATTGGGCATCATTCCTTTACATACTTTAAATCACCATATGCATATACCTATAGGGCAATTAATAAGAGGTTGTGTAATCAACCCTAAATCACACAAAAATAATTTCCCATCCTCGGGAAAGGATTTCAATCTCTGCAGAAGCAGTTAACAATTGGTTATCCAACACATCTACTTACCTACAATAAAACCCCCATTCATTAACCAAAGGAAAAAAGCTTGGAAAAAAGATAGTAATCGAGATGTAAATTTGTGCAATTTGTTTTGTAAGGGCACAGAACAATTGGGAATCACCTCACGTACTTACTTTAAAATTACCATGCATATAGGTCAAGTAAATATAAGGGGTTGTGTAATCAACACTAAATCACACAAAAATTCCTTCCCATCCTTGGAAAAGGATTTCGATCTCTGCAGAGGCATCAGCAACGATTGATTACCTATCTAGCACATCTACTGTAATGAACCTTTAAAATTACCCTCACTGGAAAGGATTTCAAATTTTAACATTGGTACCTACCTTCAACTTCAACCCCGATTCATTAACCAAAGGAAAAAATCGATTGTAATAAATACAAGTGGCAGAAAATAATTGAGGAATCACCTCAGCATCTACTTACTTTAAAATCACCATCCATCAGTCAAATGAATAAAGGGTTGTAGGTAATCAACCCTAATTCACACAAAATTAATTTCACATCCTCGAAAAGGGTTTTCAATTTCTGCAGAGGCGAGAGAGATTGGTTATCACCCGATCACCCTGATTCATGAGTCAAAAGAAGAACTTTGAAATTGTACAAAAATTTCTGCCGGAGTAGGTACCTAAGTACACTCAATCGGGAATATCAACCCGATTCATTGCCCAAAGGAAAAAAGGATGCATTTCACGTTTAAAACTTTATGAAAATTTCTAACGGGTACGAAACAATTTATAATTACCCCATCTACGTACGTGCAAATTATTATCGATTGGCCCCCATAAATCACAAAAAATTAATGTCACCATTTGCAGATGTCGTTTCGTCCCCGCAGTCACAACAACACTTATACCTATACTGAAAGCAATAGTCTACTTACCCCTTTAAAGATCGTTGATGATGGCACAGGGGGGCGCAAGAAATCTGCTTCCAAGGGTTCGATTACACTCTTCCCTAGGATTTTTGGGGAAACCTTCGGGGTTGACAACAGGGATTATCTCAAAAACGGCAGCTTCCAATTCAACCATAAGACTGGAAAATTATTATGATATTAAAGATGCGAGATATGATCAACAATTTAAAATTGGTACCTAGGTATAAGTATAAGAGGAAAGAATCTAACCAGGCAGGTACCCCTTCCATATAGGTAGGTAATTAATGCAAAATCAATAATTAAAGTCGCTCCACCTACCCCTCTTTAGATTAAATGAATTAATTAAACTATAGGAGTTGGTTAATAGGTCAATTAAGTCAATAATTACTTACGTGAAAAGATAAATCAGATTGCAAGTCACGCTGGCAAGATGGCCGACTATCTGTTGGCGGTTAATGGCTCCGATTTGGCGCACTTTTCTTCTGTAAATGCGTTCCAGAAAGGCCGCTGTTGATTTTGTAACGAAGCTGTAAAATTATCACGATGTTAGGATGGCTATACACCGATTACCAGTAATTAAGAAAACGGTTTTTAATGTTAACGCGTATAAAATGCGAATAAAAATGAGGGAAGGTTGAGCTAGCTTACCGCGGGCACTACAAACCATCAAGTGTCTGTAGAGGTATGCGCAGAAACCCGGTTTTGGAACGAAAATGGATACCCTTCAAATGTCCTCAATCAACCGTATTTACACGTATAACAAAAATTAACGATTTCAAAATGGTTAATTACTTACCCTGGACGGTTAATTCGATTCCAAAATTTACCAAAAATTCTATTTCATGTAGGAGCGCGCTATACCTATGAGTAATTAACGCATCTAGGCTACTTTATTTAGATATTCGCGCATTGAAATCACCAGAGATTATACACTAAGTACTCAGTAGCCAGTAGGTAGGTATACATCACTTAATAATGCAGAAAACTTAATAATGCAGAGCATTTCTGCTAAGCGAGGTTTATACAGAAAAACGCGGGCGAGCTCAATTCAGAACACCTGCACGATTCCTACTGCACCCAAGTCTACTAAGATACTATGCGTTCCAAAACATTTCGGTTCGGTTTTTCCACGAATTGTTCCTTACCCCCCAAGCTTAAGGAATCGAATACGACGGGCAAAGAGGCGATTTAATGTCGAAAACGGATGCGTCCTTGAATTCAGCATTAGATAAAAGTATCTAAATTAATACAAATTTTAAATATATTTCAATAGAGACAAAAGTTGCCAGTTGGTTTCGTTGAACGAAGCGCGGCCAGACGTCTGCAATGCCGTGATTGGTGCATTTCTAGAAAGCGCGCCAAGATAATTTGCCCCGTTTGCAATATTATGTTTTGAATTCTTCCTAGAATTGCGTCTGCATTAGATTATATTATTACCGCGATACCTTCACGCTATTAAGTATAATTGTTTGGGTGGATTTAATACATCTCTCAAAGATAACAAAACAATTACTTAAGTACGTAAATATGGATGATGTACCTACACAAAGTGAGGACTCGCGATTAAAAATGGCCCAGTCTTTCAAATTTGGCTTCCTCTCGCAGTTAACAGTGAAACATACGTAGGTATAGCATACATTAGCATTTTGAGAAAATTTTCGTAGGCAATTTCACAAGTGCATCAAAATAACCGATAATTTTTTTGAAAGCTTTGTTGTCTAATAACTGCCTACGTTTGTTTTCATATTTTGGCGAAAGACCGAAGGTGGGGGGCTCTTTTAACAAAATATGAAAATGACCGAATGCAGTTTTTTTTACTGACAACATGCTTGAATAAAAAACTATCAGGTTTATTTTGATGCACGAGTTACCTACCTAATTTAGAGGAATATTTCCCTCATATGTAATAAATCCCATATATGAGGTGTGCAATTACCCGTTCTTGCCTTTTTCTAACTTATGTAGGTAGGTATATCATTGCGGGCATTTTTGAACGCCCCGAGCAATTCACAAGTAAGCAAGGCTATTAATTAACCATTGAAGATGAGATTTGAACCATAGGTATACAGTGGGAATTCCTAATTACAAACCGGCAAAGCTACAGCGAATATATACTATACCTATTAGAGCTTCTGAAGTCTATACCTACAGTTTCTAAGGTATACCTAAGTACCTCTAGGCCTATAAAGTTCTGAATCCCTAATCCACCCTCGAAGGAAAGTTTAGCACACTCTAGCAATTTTGGAAACATCAGGACCTTTATACACATTTTAATCAGTTTGGGAATTTAGAATCTTTAGGGATAACTTTAACATTTTCACACACTTTAGCTTTATAGAATTTTGATTAACGTACCTAAGTGCTTTCCGACCGTTGAAGTTTCTAAAGTTTTGATTTCTAGGTTTCCTGTTGCATGAGTATTTCCAAATCGTAAACTTTGGAAAGTCTCCTAGTCCCCAAATTTCGTAACGTCTTTATATGTACCTACTACTACACTTATTAAATTCTGTAGGCGCTTTTACTATTTTTAGCAAAAACATAGGTACCCACCAGGAATTCTCCTGTAGGTACCTACATAATTTGTTGATTTCAAGTATAAATAACTTTTGTTCATTTGAAGTTAATTTTGACACTCTCCTGCATAAGCAACTTACAAACACCATCCAAATGCCTAAGTACACAAACAAAAAGAGCAGAACCAATCGTTAAGGAGATATTCTGGGGTCGCCACTCGTTATCTGATTTGTCCAGTTTTATAATGACCTCCACGCCCATACAGCAGAACAAAATGGGGACTTGCTCTATCCTTCAACGTAAATAGAAAACCGGATCGTCAAGGTGTAGCTACGCTATTTACATGAGAAAGAGATGTGATTAGCATAATGCCAAAACAAATATTTGACCTCGGACTTAAGACTTTGATGACTTTAAATAATGACCTACTTACCACAGAGAAGTGTAGATAGAGTGGGAAAATGTAATTTACTTTTTTGATAGTTAAGAAAAAATAAATTATAATGTAGACTTATAATAATGCCTTCCAAATTATAAGAACAGAACAAAGCAGAAAATTGAACATCGGAATTAAGGATTTTTGGAGCCTATATAAAAATTTCGATTGTTTTCCTAACAGGCACAGCTATATAAAATTTATAAAAAATTCATGTAGGTATACCTTCCTACTCAAAACTTAAAGAACAAATTTACTCATATCCTCAACACTTAAACTAATTAGCGGTAATTCTCTTTTTCAGTGTATCTATCTATACACTAAAAAGTAAAAATTAAGCGTATATCACACAAACATTCATTCAAACTTACATATAAATTGAAAAAGAAAAACAGATTAAAAGAAAAACAGATTAAAATGATTTCACAAAAATTAACGCAGAAAATTAATTGATAAAAAATTGATAAAATTGAAAAATTCGTGTAGATCCCAAACACTTTGACTAGACACCTAGACTAAACCGTACTTTGGTAACTTGGTAGTATAGCTACACAAAAATGAAATGATATCTATACAAAAACTCAAATTCAGAAAAATTTAAAAGTAATTTAAAAAACAGATTCAAAAGTAAAACGTTCAGAAAATTCAGTAAGTTATGGTAAAGAAAATTGGAGGTTTATAAATACGAAAGTTAAAAAAATTTAAATATTCGAAAAACTAGAAATTAGCGCAGATAATTATGATTAAAAAATGAAAAAATATTTTTGAAATTTATAGGAAGCAAATTGGAGAATTCTGAAAATTGTTGTTTATTCACATAATTAAAATGGTTCAAATCAGTTGCGAACTTAATACGGACAGTGTATACAAGAAATTAAGTGGTAGGTATTATCTACACAAAAAATCAAACTCTGAAACATTTTTAAAAAATTCGAAAAATTCAAAAAAATAACAAAGAAAATTAGAGGTTTATAAAACTGAAAATTTTTAAAATTAAAAAATTTGAATAATTAAAAAAATACTAAAACATTCGAGAAATTGTAACATTAGTATGCAGATATTTACCTAAATCAGAAAACTAAAAAAACTTAAAAAAACTCTAAATTTATAGAAAATTGAAAAAAAATGTTAATCTGCAAAAATTAGACAATTTAAATTGAGCACATGAAAATTCAAAATATAGGTAATGCAGAAAATTCCACAAGAAATTCAGAAAATTCGAAGTATAGATATAAAAATTAGAATTGTTTTCGCGAACAAGAACATCTGTAATGGTACATATGGGTACACAAAATTCATGAAGTATCTCAAAAATTAAAGAAAAATTCATATCTTGTTTATATCACGTACACTTTGAGCTCTTAGACTATTGCACCTATTGAAACTGTACCTATGATTTACGGCAAATTAGCGACCATTTTCAGTGCAAACTTTATCCCATCATAACAGTGTACCTACACAAAAAATTAAGTGGTGCAAATACAAATTTAGAAAAACTTAAAAATATATATTTAAAGGTTCAAAAAACATAGAAAGAAAACATTTAAAATCTATACAAAATTGGAAATTGGAATATTATTAGGTATTAAAATTAGTATGAAGCGTAGTACTTACACTCGCTGCATGATGATGGAACGGAAAGATTGTAAGGGCTGGCAAACGGAGAGAGCATTGGTCTTTCACTGGCTTTCCTCCTTAACCATCTTAATGCAAGACTACCATTTTAACTGCAAGTCCACCCTAAACGCATCCTTCGTACAAATGCTGGTGAGGAACTGTTAATACCTAATGGAAGATCGACCATTCAATCATTGATTCACTCAACGATTCAATATTGTTAAATTTTCCTCGGATCAAGTATAATTTGCATCGGCATCGAAATCGGACCGCCTAAAAGATTTGATCATATTAAAAAACTTTCTGCCACGAGAACAAATGTAAAATGTAAATTACTCTAAATAATCTGTTGGTATGTAGACTGCCCATTTATATTTTTTATTGAAAATTTAGATACCTACCAACGATTAAAATAGTATGATTTTTTTAACCTACAGTAGGATTTTACAATATGCCCCTTGGTGGGGAAAATTTTAGCAATTCTAGCAAAAAGTTTTTCACCTAGGAGTGCCACTTAAAAAATGGCAGCACTGAAAATTGTATAAAGATTATATAAATGCAAATTTGTCCTACACATTTGATTCTCAGAGTTTGTAAACAAAAATGTCCGTAGCGAAATGATGTGTTGCCTACCTCCCCTCCTACTTGGAACTCTATGTTCGAGGTCAGATTTAGGAGTCTTTCATAACTCATACTTTCGTTACAGAGTATGTAATTATTCAGTCATTTTAAGTAGAAATAGGTATACTTAATCATCAAACTTGATTAATTTAGAATTTGTCGCTTTCACAGAAAGAAAATTGACCTTTACCTACTTTTGAAAGAAGCAGTACGTTGTCCACTTAAACACAAAAATTAAGCCGGAAATTTTACTTTACAAAAAATCCGGCTTATTTTCTCTCATCCAGTATATTGCAAAGCACCAGTGGTTGGATCCCCCGCTTAGTAGGTACATACTTTTCGATTGAAATTCATATTCGTAGAGCTTTATGTGAAATTCAAATAAACGGCTTGATGCTTGGGTATGTATAGGGTGTTCTACGTTTACGCAATTCTGCTAGTCACATAATTTCGCTTTAGAGTAGATAATAACAAATAACAAGACACAACAAAGCATTAACATTAAGGTAGTTATCTATAGCCATGAGATTATATAGGTACCATCTTGTATAACACCGTTCATCTGGCTGATAGGATGAATTCGAAGTCGACATCGTCAACATTAGAAGATGAGGCTCTTGGTTCATATACCGTGGATTACAGTTTTGATATGACATCCAAATCGATCACTCTAAAAAATGACAGTATTAAAAACCTGCTCTATCACAACATACTGTATAGGTATTTTCAGAAAAAGGGCGTACAATCACAGATTTATTGGTCAAATTTTTCGCTGCACAGAGTGAGATACGAGCCATGCATTTTTCCTCCATGTTTTACAACTGACTGCCGAATGTATTAAAATAAAAATTGCCAATCCGTGCTGGACGTTAGGTACCGGAAAGCTTCTTTCTCACACCACATTGTAAGTACAACATGTAACAAAATCTAAATACCTACACCCAAATTCAGAAACGTGGTCGCACGCAGCAATTTCCCAATTTCTCGGTATAAAAGAATGTAGCAGACAACATCTGAAATATAGATAACAACCAATGGGGAAGGGAATATAATCATGTCACTTATTTTCGATAAAATAATTCTAAGCCTTCGAAGAAATAACACCAAATCTCTCCATAAAAAATGGGGAGATTTGGTGTTATTTCTTTTTTTATGGGGACATTGGTGTTATTTCTCGAAAGGCTTCGTAAGGACCCCATTTGGAGTCATGGATAGCCACAATTTAAAAATAATTCATCCTTTGAATCACAGACAATTACCTTGAAACGCTCAGAAGGAAGTTCTTAATTTCTGACCGCCTACACATAAATTGGTAATCTCACGACAACTGCAGTGCTAGAAACGATTGGTTATACCTAACCCCGATCTCCTTGCAATTCAATGCGGCTAAGGGTGTACTACCTATGCAATCAAAAATGAGTTGATGTCTAGTGTCTAGTCACCTTTGGAATTTTTTTACATGGAAAATCGTACTTAACTTGAGCTTCCAAAGGCGACTCGACCGTACCTCATTTTTGAGGCTTTATGTAGAAAGTTTCGCTCTACCTCACGTCGAAAGTCGACTGATAAACTTGGTCGTGTACACTTAGCCAACCCTTGCCGTTTGTCGGCTGACACGAGGTTGGACCCAACTTTTCAATATAAATATTTTTTGGGGAATCTGACTCCCCCCCCCCCCGCCCTAGAAAGGTCCGTGCATGGTCAAAGAAACAAAGTGTTATATGTACCTAGGTATAAGCAAACCGTCACATCACATTAAAAATTAATACACCATCAGAGCTTTACATTAAAATATTACCTATAGCTATAATGTACCTAGGTATAGGTAGGATGTGGTCTCATTGGTGGAAACATCCAGGTATACCTAATAGAAAATTTTGGTGGCCAGTGTAGGTAAAAGAACTTAAGTATAAAAATGGCAACCTTTTATCCTAAATGGAGATTCACCATCATCCCCTCAACGTCTAAAATGGGGAAACTTTACAGATTGCCCTATGTAAAGAATTTCCCAATCACAATCCACCTTAATTATTAAGTATAGGTACCTAGGTATAGGTTCCTACCTACTACTGAAGTTTATCAAAATTATAATAAATCTGTGACTTACCTACTTACCCCTTTATAATAATCGATTACGAGGTAGATCGTAGATAACATGATAGGGTGGAAAACGGCTCCCTAAGTGTTCGATTGCACCCTTTTACAGGATTTTTGGTCAAGCCTTCAGGATTTAGCAGAATTGTAAGAACGGCACCTGACCTTCCAATTAACGAAGCTGAAAGTATGATTAATTAGAGATGTAACGTGACACAAATAAAATTGGTTGGAGAGAACAAAAATAAAACTATGAATTAAGTAAATCAAGCCCTCAATGAAGTCGAAAAATAGGTAGGTAGCCAACGCCCGAAATGACGCTATCAAAAATTAGAACAAAACCGTCTTCCTAGATTGTGTATTCACCCCCATTGAGATTAAGATTAAGCGTTAATTAAAGGGGGTAGGTACCTACCTAATGGCGGACTTTAATAATTCAATAATTACTCACCACAAACGTTTAAGCCGATTGCATCAGGTCTCCCTTGTGCTGGAGCTGGACGCCATCTTTGTCCACAAATTACTGGCAAGTTTGCTTAGGTAAAATGCTGCACCAGCTCAGGATAACGATGCGGACGTATAGGATGCTGTCGATTTTCTATAAATTAACGCCAGGCTGTAAAATGATCACGAGATTAGGATTGCAATTAAAAAACCGTTTTTACCTACTGCTTCATGTAGAAAAAAAGAAAAACAGAGAATGCGTTGAGCTAAATCTCCCCCTTCCCCTTACTAAGCGTCTGTGCGCAATAGACCCGCGAATATTCGAAAATGGACACCCTTAAAATCACCTCAAAGCAACGTACCTACTTAACTACCTATTTGAACAATTAACCCATGTTTACTTAAGTTGATGTGCAAATAGGTACAATTAAGTAGAATAATTACTCACCCCAGACGCACATGATGGTTACTTAAATTGATAGCAAAATGTCCAAACATGCGATGCTATACCCCTATCTAAAAAGTGGTGTAATTACCTACTTTTTATTAAGGTGATGGCATGAAAAGTACTTATACCTAAGTAAAAAAAATTATTTACACCCCGGCACTAACAAGTTACTGTTGCAAAATGTGCGCGTTCTTCTAAAGCTCACGTTAGATTGAAAAGCTCTGACCTTGATTCGGAAAGCCGCGATTTGTGTGCATTTGAATTCGTTTGCTACGATAGGTATACTAGCCGTCCCAATACATTCGATCCGAATATTCCTGGAATTGCGTCTGCTTAGGATTTTTATTAATTTATCAGTCAAGTCAAAGATGTACCTACACAAAAAAGCGACGTATAGATAGGGGTGTAGTGTAGGTACCTATATAAAAGTCAGGGCCCGTGATCAGACAAGTTTCGTAGGTAGGTACATGAAATGTGTTGACGTTATATCCTTGAAAAATTTGGAGGTCAAAGTCAAAATTTTAGGCATCTTTGGCACAACAACTAGGTATTACGTTTGAAAATTTTCCATTTAAATAACATTTATAATACTTACGGTACTCCCAATTGTTTACATACACAAATCTTATTTTATTATCGGTCTGTCGGTTGCTGTGTCGGGCGTTTGCATTAAAAAAGCTTTAGATAAGTACCTACCTACAGCTACAGGTAGGTAATACCTAGGTAGGTACTTACTTTGGAGACTAGGCGGAACTCCTTATATTCTTTCTCTAATTTCAAAAGTAGGTACCTATAAACTTCTATAAAGTGTGAAAATATTCTCATCTCTCCCCATATAAAGTAAACATCAAACACTCTAATGTTACACAAAGTTTTAAGAGTTAAAATATCTAAACTTCTCGAAGTCTTAAAATTTTCTATAAGTAGACAATAACCCCCGTAAGTTTTCTATCTAGGTAAGGTACCTACAGTTTCTGAAGTCTAAAATTTCTAAGATATACCATTGAATAAAAACACTATAAGAAGCCTAACCCCGTGGAAATAAAGCGCGACAGAGTTTGAACTGAGAATATAATGGGAACACTGTCAATAGAGTCGATTCTTGAACTGAGAAGAATGAGAATTTGCTTTCCTTCTATTTACCGCAAAGAGAGTTCGGCGGTCACAACCAATGCGGGTGCAAGGGGATTTGTGAGATTTGTCGCGCTTTCTTCCATAAGCGTTAGGCTTCTTATAGTGTTTTTATTCAATGGATATACCTATAGGTAACGCTCTGATGATCTTTGGATCTTTATACCTACCTAATATGTAAATTCTAAAGTGTCTGCGCCAAAGTTGGTCAAGTCTCTAAACCCTTAGATCACATAGGTAGGTAGGTAGGTATGGTCTCTAAATTTTCTAAAACTACCTAGGTAGGTATAAGTACCTATTATTTTAGTTTGCTCAACTCCCAAAGCATTTCTAATCGATCCATAAATTTTCTGAAGATAGCGAAGAGTCTATGGTTTCAAGGACTTCCTCATCAAGTTCCTAGTATTGCACTGGGGAAAAAATGCCCCCCTCCCCACTTTTTTGACGGAAATGCACGTTTTACACCACCAAGAATCCGAATCAAACAAAATCTCGACCATGTCGGTCCATCTGAACCGATTGGAACCAAATATGGTACACCTACAGACCTATACTCCTAAACATAAAAGGGCAAAATCGAGCATGCGCATAGGTGTGGGGGTGGTATCTATCTGTGCCAGCCACCTACAACCTATACCTACAACAAACCTTTACCTACGTTTTTTGTGAAAAATAGGTATAAGTATAGGTACCTAGGATACTAGGAATTATGTAAGTATCTAGGAATTATGTAAGTATCTAGGTATATGTATGTATAGTCCAGTCATTCTATCTAGGTAAGCCAAAAAACGACAAAAAAAAATAGGTAATTCGTGCAATGAGCCAAAGGAAAAGTTCGACCTAAAAGACCTAGTAGCTGAAAAAGAATGCGTTTTTTTTTAAAAAATGTAGGTAAGTAGGTACCTACCTACTATATAGAAACAACGTTGTATAGAAAATAATTTACCTATTTGCAATCTATAAACAAAGGCTAAATTTTGCTGTTCTGTTGCTGCGACCATTGTACCTCAATCAACAAACCAAAACAAAAACCAGTTGCAAATTTCTGCAAAATGTTCTAGTAAACAAGCAAAAGTGCAACCAATCGCTGACGATAATGTTATGCTTAACCTGAATTGGTACCTACGTTCTGTTTACTTCCACGCCCACGCATACTCTCTTGCCAAAACAAAATGGTAGTATATTTAACCTACTTACAAACAACAACAGAAAACCGGTTCGTAAAGGTAAAGATCATACCTAGGTACTACACTAGAGAGCCAATTAAGTAGTTTCGTAAAAATATTAGGTATATTTCAAAGTCCAGAACGTAGGTCTAGGTACCTATAACTCTCGCTATAACTGGTTCGTCCGAAGCAGTACCTATTCGGTATTCCTAAGTACAAGTTAACGAATCATTAAAAATAGGTACCTAAGTAAAAAGGTTATGGTTATTATCTGAAGACGTGCGACACATATAGGTAGGTACCTAAACATGAAAAGAAAAGAAATGAAAAATCCCTCCGGCAAGGGAAAGCGTTGTATACCTAATTAGTTTAGATACCTA